TGAACCCCAAGTAGATTCTCGTCAAGCATTTTTTTTTCTACTTAATATTTAAAACTGTGATACTTAAAGTCAAATTTAATCCAGGCATTTTTTATTTCTGGACAAAGAGATCATTGAAAAATTAATTTAACAGAAACATTTGACATGCAAAAAAGCAAAAAAGCTTTTTAAGCAACTTTTCTTACAAACAGGAAGTTATGTCTTTTCAGAGCTTAAAAGTGAGATCCACCACATGTTAATTTTAGTCTGGAAATCCAAAGTTACGATATGATTTAGATTTCACTAACTCAAATCCAAAGTTACGATTTGATTTAGATTTCACTCTTTATACCTCATCACCCTGGTTAATGGGCATGGAATGAGGTCACTGAAGGCCTGGTTGAGGAACCCTGGTTTTGGGGAGCCACTGTCTCCCCATTTTTCTGTAAGTGGGAAATGTCTTTTCTGTGGGGCCTTTGCTTTGTTAGTTCACTCTGAAACACAGAATGAAGTTTCCTCGAGATGGGCAAATTGAAAACCTCCAAAATCTGGCTTAACAGAGCTCTAAGTTTTAAAGACATCAATGTTGTACTTACTAGGAATTAAAAAAAAAAATCATTCTTAAACTGAATTTATTTTCCCTAACAAAGCATCCATGTGACAGCTTGACCATCCCCATTTTATGCATACTTTTGAAAAAAAATCTTTTTATTGAGGTACAATATACATATATAGTTTACTATATTTAGCATTTCAAGTATACAGTTCAGTGATAATAAGCACGTTTCAATTCTTTTTTTCCCTTTCACCCCGCTTCAAAGTCTCTAGTAACTATGAAACTCCTCTCTATTTTCATGAGATCCACTTTTTTTTTTTCCCCCTGAGATGGAGTCTCAGAGTTTCACTCTGTCGCCCAGGCTTGTGTGCAGTAGCACAATCTCGGCTCACTGCAACCTCTGCCTCCTGGGTTCAAGTGATTCTCCTGCCTCAGCCTCCTGAGTAGATGAGATTACAGGCACCTGCCACTACGCCCAGCTAATTTTTGTATTTTTAGTAGAGACCATGTTGGTTAAACTGACCATGTTGGTCAAACTGGTCTCGAACTCCTGACCTCGTTATCTGCCCACCTCGGCCTCCCAAAGTGCTGAGATTACAGGCATGAGCTACCATGCCCAGCCGAGATCCACTTTTTTAGCTCCCACATATGCGTGAGAACATGTAATATGAGTCTTTCTGTGCCTGGCTTATTTCACTTAACATGATGGCCTCCTATTCCATCCATGTTGCTGCAAATGGCAGGATTTCATTCTTTCTTATGGCTAAATAATATTCCATTGTGTATATACCACATATTCTTTATCCATTCATCCATTGTTAGACACTGGGTGGATTCCACATCTTGGCTGTTGGAAATAGTGCTACAATGAACATGGGAGGGCAGGTATGTCTTCAAGACACTGATTTCATTTCCTCTGGATCTATATCTAGTAGTGGGATTGCTGGAGCTTATGGAAATTCTAATTTTAGTTTGTTGAGGAACCTCCATACTGTTCTCCATAGTGACTGCACTAATTTACATTCCCACCAGCAGTGTAGGAGGGTTCCCCTTTCTCCAATCTGGAGGAGCTCATTTTTGAGACTTAGAGAAAAGTGATAGCATGTACACAAGGGTTGACTAGCATAAATAAGGGCTGAAAATCTCTTAGGGGAATTAAAGATTTATCTGAACTTAATTTTAGCTAATGTTTTTACTAGAATTATTTATATATATTTCCTAAAGCTATAAATGTTACAATACATGCTTATATATTCTACAACATATACTATTTATATAACATTTATAGTAATACTTGTTAGTAATATGTTACAGTTTTGATCAGATTCTCCATATATTCCTGCTTTAAAACATCCATGGCCTTGAGTCCCTGGGTAGTTGGCATTCAACTATGAGGATGGCAGAGGTTGTACATTCCTGGAGTGGATACACAGCTGTTCTCAGTGCCTCTGTGAAATGATGTTATTTTAGGATGCTAAGGGAAAGTTGAGCCATAAGGCTCTTTGTCAAGGGGAAACCGTATATCACGTGTGGTTCCCAGTGTGTGTTCCTGGAGCACCAGAGACACCATCACCTGAGGACTCGTTAGACGTGCACATTCTCAGGCTTCACCCCAAACCCGCTGAATCAGCAACTCCGAGCCTTCCAGGTGATTCTGATACAGCTAAGCTTGAGCCCCTGCGTCAGGGCGGTTGCAGGCATGGGCACAAGAGCCTTGCTGTGGAATGTACCACTGCCCTGTGTCTGCTGTTGGGAACTTGGGCAAGTCGTTTACCCTCTCTGTGCCTCAGTTTCCTAATCGTGGGGATAATGATGGTGCCTACCTCTCAGGGTTGGCGTGAGGGTTAAATAAGTTTCCATGTGGAAAGCACTTAGAACAGTGGCAGGCATGTGGTGGTTTAAGTGTTATCTATTTATGATGATGATGATTGTCATTATCAATTTGAACTTTTATTGCTATCATAACTTCTCTGAATAGTTATCACATTATCTTATTATTGCTATAGTTACTATTTATCTGCATCTTTCCTACTGTGGGCCACTCTGGCTCCATTCTTGTCTATTATTTGCTCATGTATTTCTTCCAACCGGTCAGTAGCTTTCCGGTCATTTCCAGGTTGATTTCTCTGATGGAACAGTGTGTTCCAGCTTGCTGTGGTGGGTTTTTGGATTGTTCATCCTTTTAAGAGCCTCTGTCTTTGATGGAATTTTTTTCCTCCCTCAAGATGGCAATGGGTACTACCCTTCCATTTCCCATTCTCCTTGCTGTGTCCCCAACACTGGAAGTGTAGTTCTCCATATAGCTAAGTACCTTCTGTTTCATTCTGTTTCAGAGTGTGTTTATTTTCTTTCCTTTAACTTCAGAAAACAAATGCTCACAGCATAAGCACTCAGTGACCTCAGATCGTAAATCTTTTACTGGTTTGAAGTAGGAGAAAGTGATACTGACCTATCCATTCAATAGTTGTAAGAACTTCACTTAGGTAGATATCACCATTCAAAGAATTGCAACCCCAACCCACAAACTGAAACGATACAACAAAAACTGCAGAAATAAACATTACTTCCAGAAATTAAAGAAAACAGATAATGGTTTATGTGAAATATTGCTTAGCTGGGAGGATTAACCCTTTTCCCATTTGCCTTGAGAATGCTCACTGGCATCGCTTGAGGCTGCAGCATTTACCTGGAGATGATTTTGCTACACAGTATATCTCTTTTATTATTATTTTCATGTCACTCTAGTATATCAACTTTGGAAACAAAAGACATCATTTTCTTTATAACATTCTGTTTTTAGTAGTGGTATTTTTATTCACCAAATATAGTAATTCTCGATTGCTGAAAATGTCAAATCCTGGAAAACACAGCGTTCCTATACATGATGTTAACATCGGTCTCCAACAGTTGTTGGCCAAAGATTCATTTGATGAATCCGATTTTTCTGAAATAGTAGATTCCGATGATTCAGATGATTCTGATGTTAGTTCTGTTTAGAAATAACTCCAAGAACGATTTTTATGTTTTATTTTCGCATTGAAAATCAATCAGATTTGCTTCAGCCTGGAAAAACATGTTTATGTAAAGTTAAATGAGCACTGGTGGCAAGTTGCGCTTTTTTTTTTTTCAAATGGGAAAAAGGTTAAGATAGGGGAAATTAGAAGAAAATATTCTTCTCTCATTCTTTATCTTTTGGGAAACTGTTATTGTTGCTTACCATGTTAGAAGTTAAGCCAGGTCTATTGAAGAATCACTAAGGGAAAATAACCTAAGGCAGTAACATAAAATTATATGAAATAAGAGTATGTATCAACAATGGTTTAAACTTCATGAAAGAAGTCTGCTGAGGAATAAAATTCTGTAAATTAAGAGCCTATGAGGAAGTGCAATTCCTAAAGCCTATGGGTAAGATTGATGGGCACAAGGAAGATTCTGGGTCTTCATAGAGCACTGACAAAGAGGTCCATTGCCAAACATGCTGTGGCCACACTGGCAGGATCCAGCCTGTAAGAAGCTGCACAGGTTAATCTGGAATACTTCAACTATAAGAGAGTAATAACTGTAAGTAATTGGTGGATCAGAAGAAATGTAGGAAGTATAAGTGTGCCTATGTGTGTGTGAGGCATAAAAACATATGGGTGGAGACAGATGGATGACAGATAGATAGAGATGATAGATAATTGATAGGTAATAGATCAATAATTGATAGATGATTGATAATAGGTAGGTAGATATTTAGACCGGTAATAAATAGATAATAGATTGATAGGTGATAGATAATAGATGATAGATTAGATAGATAATTGATAGATAATAGATTGATAGAAGATAGATAAAGGCAGATAGCTTAGGAAGAATTATTTTCAAAAAGTAGATGCAAAAGAACCTCTTGAATTTAGAGGAGATTACATGAAACTGTGAATGTTTAAGGGGATTTTGTGGTGGACTGACAGGAACCCTGGGCTAGCTTCCAAAGACTTTGGACCTCGTTCTTTCTGCCAGGACCCAGCTGTGTCAAGTGGGATGGTTCTGACAATCTTTTCCACTCTAATGTCCTATGACTCAACAGTAGCAATGCATTTCCACAGGCGGTAAAAATATTCTAGACTCTTCCCTTCCAGCGCTCACTGTTTACTTCCTCTGCATTTCCCCTTCCTGCCTCCCCGTGTGCTGGTCAGTTCATAGCGGGCCTCAATGAGGGTGGGTTAACCCTCTCTTTCCAGGGTGTTTTGCTACGGAGCTCCCTCCAGGGGCTGGGAACTGTGTGGTGAGGGCTGTGGTTGGGGTTCAGCTTCCTTCTTAAATCGTTCCTTGAGCCTTTACCCTATTCTGTGCAACTGCGCCAGATTTCCAGGGATTGGAAGGTAAATGCCACGGCGTAACTCTTAGAAAATCATCGGGGCTCAGTCTTACTGGGGTGCACTTGGTAACCACCTATGATCCCATGTGTCCCTCTTTCTTTCAGGCAGTAGCAGAATCCCATGGTAGCCAGGTGGGTGAAGGGGAGCGCGGACGTTCTACCTGCCTTGAAGAAGACACCTGACCTGCGGAGTGAGTGACCAGGTAGTAGAGGGTTCTGAAGGCATCACACACTTGAGGGAGGGAGGAGGACAGAGAGGGCTATGGCACCCTTTGACTGCTGACTGCCAGCTGCTGTCTTTCCCACTGAGAAATGCTGCCCCCAACACACCCAGAAGCTCTAGGTCTTGTCCTGTGATTTCTGTCCACCAAGCCTTGAGAGGAGGTATGATAGATGCCATGAAGTCCAGCACTAGATACAAAGGACTGCAGCAAAAGTGCTCTCAGCAGAAAGAGGAAACAGGTCCAGTTCATCCCAAGCCTGGCTTGCTGCCCCTTTGAAAGAGAGTTTAAAACAGAAGCTTCATGGTGCTGCCTTCATAAAAACAGAGCCAAGCTTTCCAGAATCTGGCAGAGGGCTGAGTGCCCGCAGGACACTTGTGTATCACTCACACTGGAAAACTTAAGCCTCTGTTTTTATTTCAGTGGATTGAATGGCATGCAGTTTCCTCAGCAGTTTAAAAAAAAAAATGCATGCAGTCACTTGCAGACAGGCTGCATTTGTCTCTGCTGGTGCTCACGTTACAAGCTTGTCTGTGCATTTGGGCATGCCAGCATAGTGTTTCATTTCCAACCTTTACTGTGGTCACTTTCCTCTTCGTTGTACTGAGAGGTGTTGCTGAGGGTATAGTAAGGCCCTAGTTTATCAATTATATCCTGTACTTTTCTTCTAACTTGATCCCAAGAACAGTGGGATTTGCTTCCAGGTAAACAAATTTTGAATAATTTATGGCCCTTCTTTGCAACAAAAATGAAAACGTGACTTTCTAAGGAAAAATCAATTTCAGGGGGGCATTTAGTAAATAACACAGTCTTAATTATGTAACAGGAAAATTAAAATGCCCAGCAGACCTTTTGCATCCTGAACAGGTGTTTGCTGCTAATGGATACAGTTTCCATTTCCTTGAAGGGATTTGCCCAGAGGATTACTTTCAAAACTTCTATTGAGATAATACTGCTCTAACAGAAAGAGCATTGCATGAATCTGTATATCAGTTCCTTAATAAAAGGGAAGTTTTTTAAATTCTTAAAATACCAATGAGGTGAAGAAAAACATGCCGCCCAGGTAAAGTTACTCTGTCATCACCCACATTATCTTTTTCAAGGAATGTGGGGGAAATGTATGTCAGTCACCAGGCAGGTACTATAAGACGCTAGAGGCCTCCCAGACAGCTTGTTTCCGGCTGTTAACATGGAGCAGAGCGTTCCCTGGGGCTGAGCATGGAAGCCCAGCACTTCTTATAGGTATGTCTTTCCTACTACAATATTAGATGCCTACATTTACTGACTTTTTCATTTGCTCTTTTTTTTTTTTTTTTTTTGAGACAGAGTCTCGCTCTGTCGCCCAGACTGGAGTGCAGTGGCGCGATCTCCACTCACTGCAAGCTCCGCCTTCCCGGGTTCCCACCATTCTCCTGCCTCAGCCTACCGAGTAGCTGGGACTACAGGCGCCTGCCACCGCGCCCGGCTAATTTTTGTATTTTTAGTAGAGACGGGGTTTCACCGTGTTAGTCAGGATGGTCTCGATCTCCTGACCTCGTGATCCGCCTGTCTCGGCCTCCCAAAGTGCTGGGATTACAGGCGTGAGCCACCGCGCCCGGCCTCATTTGCTCTTTAAAATAGATTTCTCCTGCTTGTTCTGCTTAGTTCTATGGAGTAAGGTAGAATTTTGGTGCCATATCTAAATATCATGTCTAAAATGACATTGGAAGCACTTTTCCAAGAATAACCAGCATATTGATCAAGTCATTAATAAAGCCTAATTATTTGCTATAAGAATGTTTTAGGTTGTTTCATAACTGAGTTTTTTCCAAAGTCATAACAAAACTAGGAGCAGTTGTAGATTCTTAATTATTCATTAGATTAGGGGGAAAATGAATTGCTATTACAAAGAATATCATGCAAAAAATAGGTTTTAAAAAATGCATTACTACTAACTGAGTTTTAAAAACGTATACTAATATTCTCCATATCAAGAACTGTTTCATGGGTGGTAGATTTTAGTTATAGCAGTACTGGACTAACACTCAGTCAATAATTTTAAATTTTCTATAATTGAGAATACATAGTAGTGGAATATAAGTAAACATATTACTCTGTGAGATATATGCATAAGAGTTTATCACAAAAAACAGCATAAATTATTTTTTTGAAATACGAGGCTCTGTTTTAACACTTTACCTTATTTAATAGTAACAAAATCCCTGAGGAATAGGTTGTATTGCCATTTAAAACATTGGAGAGTGGAGGTCCAGAGAGGTTAAGTAGCTTTCTCCAGGTCACACAGCTGATGAATTGCAGGGTCAGCATTTAACTCCGGTTTGCCTTTCTGCAAAGTCTCTGCTCCTCACTCTACCCTACTGACCACCTAAGTACAGATCAGTTAGTCTTGCCTTCAGAATTCTCCTTTCTTGTATACTTCCATGTACATTCACACTTACTTCACATGATGATCCTGTTTTCTGGAAGTTCCACCATATAGGGCGATAATGAAACGTCCTTGTCATTTCTCTAAGTATTTCCAGAGCCTGGCAATGGATGCCATTCACATCAGCATGTCCAGCACCCCCCTGGTGAAGCACACTGCTGGGGCTGGGCTCAAGGCCAACAGACCCCGCGTCATGTCCAAGAGTGGGCACAGCAACGTGAGAATTGACAAAGTGGATGGCATATACCTACTCTACCTGCAAGACCTGTGGACCACAGTTATCGACATGAAGTGGAGATACAAACTCACCCTGTTCGCCGCCACTTTTGTGATGACCTGGTTCCTTTTTGGAGTCATCTACTACGCCATCGCGTTTATTCACGGGGACTTAGAACCTGGTGAGCCTATTTCAAATCATACCCCCTGCATCATGAAAGTGGACTCTCTCACTGGGGCATTTCTGTTTTCCCTGGAATCCCAGACAACCATTGGCTATGGAGTCCGTTCCATCACAGAGGAATGTCCTCATGCCATCTTCCTGTTGGTTGCTCAGTTGGTCATCACAACCTTGATTGAGATCTTCATCACCGGAACCTTCCTGGCCAAAATTGCAAGACCCAAAAAGCGGGCTGAGACCATCAAGTTCAGTCACTGTGCAGTCATCACCAAGCAGAATGGGAAGCTGTGCTTGGTGATTCAGGTAGCCAACATGAGGAAGAGCCTCTTGATTCAGTGCCAGCTCTCTGGCAAGCTCCTGCAGACCCACGTCACCAAGGAGGGGGAGCGGATTCTGCTCAACCAAGCCACTGTCAAATTCCACGTGGACTCCTCCTCTGAGAGCCCCTTCCTCATTCTGCCCATGACCTTCTACCATGTGCTGGATGAGACGAGCCCCCTGAGAGACCTCACACCCCAAAACCTAAAGGAGAAGGAATTTGAGCTTGTGGTCCTCCTCAATGCCACTGTGGAATCCACCAGCGCTGTCTGCCAGAGCCGAACATCTTATATTCCAGAGGAAATCTACTGGGGTTTTGAGTTTGTGCCTGTGGTATCTCTCTCCAAAAATGGAAAATATGTGGCTGATTTCAGTCAGTTTGAACAGATTCGGAAGAGCCCAGATTGCACCTTTTACTGTGCAGATTCTGAGAAACAGAAACTTGAGGAGAAGTACAGGCAGGAGGATCAGAGGGAAAGAGAACTGAGGACACTTTTATTACAACAGAGCAATGTCTGATCATAGGAGTGCCATCCAGGTTTAACCCTGCAAGCTGTTTCCACATCAGAACTCCCATCAAACACAAAGATTGCTGTGAAAACGAAAATGTGTAGATGCACTCTCAAAAACTGCATGGACATACAAAACCAATCTTTCCCTTTGATCTTGTGGCTAAACCAGCATTTCTGTGTTTGAGAGATTTCCTTTTAAGTGCTTCGAATGAAAGTGAACTCTCATAATTCAAATTGTATAAAATAAATCTACATTTCTAAGAGCTTGGTGTAGGGCAATTGGAATAGTGTCCTGTTAGATAAACAGACATTTAGCAATGCTGACATTAAAAGGAAATGTATTTCTATACAAGATTATTAGCTCTAATATAAGATATTTATTTAACCAATAACCTTATGGCCGAGAGTTGAATTGTGGTTCAGTATTCATTGATCTACTGCTTTAAAACATGCTGTTTTTGTTCAAGCAGGAAAAATATTATATCTAATGATGTCTATTTGGTAATACCTAAAAAGAGGTAGAGCGACTCTCTATTCACAAAATATAGTAATTTCATTTTTACCTTTCTTCAGTGGACTGAATTGTATGGAAGGAAATCGATCAGATCTGTCATTCACAACTGTGGAAACCTACACAAATGGGGCTGATGCCATTGTTTCCTCTATTTTTTTATTTTATTTTTATGTTTTGGAATTTACTATCCTCTTTCCATTCAAAATGTTTCCATTCAAAATGTGGTTCACAGACCCACTGCATCAGCACCATCTGAGCGTTTATTCGTAACGTGTAGATTCTCAGGCCCCAGCCAGACTTACAGAATTGGGATGTCTGTATCTTAACAAGAACCCCAGATGATTTGTATACAGATAAAAGTTTGAAAGTTCTGCTCTGGACAATGTTTTCAAAGCAACTTTCCGAAGCCATGTGGAAAACTGACTCGGTGGGTCCCGTATCCCCGTGGCATCCAGACCTGGCCCCTCTCCATTTCATTATTATTGGCCAATATTTCTTTGAGCCATTTCATTTCTTGTCTATTAAAATGCCTTGCCCATAAAGGAACTGCATAGAATTATCCCCTGACATTCCAAGAGCAAAATAAAGCTCTTGAGAGTAATTGCTGTCTCAGTCATGCTTGCTGATTACAGTTAGCACAAAAGAAAAATTCAGCTGCCTGACAATACAGGAAATGTTCTCAGATGCTGAAGTTTGTAAGGTCCGGTGGGGCCATGAGGAAGAAGAGGAGCTGAAGGTAAGGAACTCATAAACAAGATGACTCTTTGACGCATGAACAAGATTTGAAAATCTCAAACCTGTAAAGAATACCCCCGCTATTTAAATAAAGCTCATACCAAGAGGTAACATTTTGCCCCGGGCAAAATTCAGGGGTCGAGTGCCCTGCATTCCTTTGAGGCAAAAAATAACTGGTCTATGACTGGTTAAATGTCCAAAAGGTGAATTCTCATTTCATTCAAACAAAGACAGATTTGCACGTTCACTCAAGCAGAATGTGGCCATGAATATTCAGTCCCTGCATACGTACAAAGATGTACACATGATTCCCGCCACCACACACACATACACTCACACACACGCACGCACACACACACAGGCCCTGGCTCTTCAAGCATAATCATGGTAGTCATCAGTGAAAGACATTTGCGATTAAGATAGCAAGTCCTTGACAAATATATTCATGTCTATTTGGTTCTATAAAAATATGAACATTGGGACTCAGAGAAAATGGGGAAAATAAAGTGGATTCAGATAATCAGTGAAATGATGGTATAGATTACAGTAGATCTGCTATATATTGATGTTACTGCATTTGCAAATGTCCTCCCATTAAACAGAAAATGTGGCTAAAACCCCTGGCCTGGAACTGAACTAGTTTAAGGTGTGTGTAAGGATAATGGGAGTAAAGTCTGTGAAAGTTTAAAGAACAATCTCAATCCATGAACAAGAGGGAGGATGTTGTCTTTAATTATTTAGGTTTTTTTTTCCTTGTCTGTTGATAAATTTATGGAAGGTTGCTTTAGATCTCCATTCCTTAAAAAATATTACATGGCAGTGTAGTTAGATATTATCTCTTTTAGTTATTATACTTGCTATTTTTACTGTATACTGTGGTATAATCAACAAAAAATAATTCCATGGGCATGTTTACACCTTTTCTGTTGCACTATTAAATTCTTTTCACAGTATTTATATCAATGCTAATTTAAATGTGATGCTGATTAAAAATCTTGCTCATTTATATTGTATCTGGTACAAGGACATAGCATAAGATTCAGAAAAATTTTTGTATTGTCATTTAGCGTATCAATTTCAGCCAAATTTGGAAGACTTGATCATCTTACCTTTTGCTCTACACACTCAAAACAAATACTGGAGTAGAAATATCACCTTAAAATATATCTTAATTTACATTTAGATAATATTGAAATCACATTCTATTAAAATTGGAAATTTAATTCAAATAAAAATCAAACAAAATAGTTGTTTCAATTTATCTAAATATCTGGTCTTAAAAGTGCCTTAAGAGTGTCTGGTTTATGGCCGGGCGCAGTGGCTCACCCCTGTAATCCCAGCACTTTGGGAGGCCGAGGTGGGCAGATCATGAGGTCAGGAGATGGAGACCATCCTGGCTAATACGGTGGAACCCCGTCTCTACTAAAAATACAAAAACTTGGCCGGTCGTGGTGGCGGCGCCTGTAGTCCCAGCTACTCGGGAGGCTGAGGCAGGAGAATGGCGGGAACCCGGGAGGCGGAGCTTGCAGTGAGCCGAGATCGCGCCACTGCGGTCCGGCCTGGGCAACAGAGCGAGACTCCGTCTCAAAAAAACAAAAAGAGTGCCTGGTTTTTAAGAGTGTCTTAAAAACCAATATATGTATAAGTCAACAAATCATATAATATTCAATAAATAGCGCTGAAGTTGTATCTGGTTTGAAACTTACCATTTTCCTCGAACCTTAACTATTATTACTTTGTACATAATACTTTCATGTTACTATGCTAACAAAGGATTTAGGTAGCAAACTTAATTTATTATATCTGGTCAGTCTTCTGCTTAAAACAGATTCACACTCAACACCCAGCTAAGGAGGAGCCAAAGTAGTGGAGTATTCCTGACCCAAAAAGGCATTTGAATTTTGAAACATTTCTAACGTGTTAGGTTTTCTCAATGAGTCCATTAAAAAACGTTGTGTTCCATTTGAGAAACCACAGAGTCAACAGCAGTAAATCAGTGTGCCCCACAAGCCGTGTCTTATTCAGCAATAAAATAGACGGTGCTCACATGGTGCCTGGCAGACAGTGGCTCTGGACAGCAAAACACTGAGTCACCCAACCCTACTCCTTTGGGATGGGGTGGGGAGTCATGCATTGGCTCCCTTTTTCATCCTGGGGAAATTACAACACAAAGCAGAGTGTCTAGAAATCTAAAGAGCTGGTTTAAGGTGAAAAAAATGCCATGAACTAATGAACCAGATATTTAATAAATCAAAACAACTGTTTTGTTGGATTTTTATTTGCATTAAATTTCCCAATTTTTAATAGACTGTGATTTCAATATTATCGAAATGTAAACGAAGATATATTTTTAAGGTGGCATTTCTACTCCAGCATGAAAAAATAGTGACACTCACACTCTAGTATTATTCTGTCTCCTTTATTTGAGTCTTCAATATATATACCCCAGCTGGAGGGAGAAGAAGAGAAGAGAAAAATGAAAGCACTAGGGCCTTTGACTAGGTTTGGTTCTGTATGCTCTCAGGATGTTCAAAAGGTCAGACATTTGACCACATGGCACGGTGAAGACTCTCAGGCTCTCAATTTTGGCTTTCCTTCTTGCTAGACTTTTCTTCGCCTATTAAATTTCTGAAATAACTAGTTTTATCATAGCTTTCCATGATGCAATTTTTTTTAAGTGAAAGGTACTAGCATTTCCAGTGGTGATTTCCAGGTTCTGTGGTGTGCACTCGAAGTCTGGTCTCTGACTGTTAAACTCTGGCTAGGTACAAGATGATCTTAATTTTCTTCCTCTGGGGAAGACTGACTTACACTTGAAGCTCAAAAGCTTAACATTCACTTCTAAATGATTAACTTCATACACTTTACCCTTTGTGAATTTCAATTTTTTTTTTGTTTTTCTTTTTTCCTTTTTTTTTTTTTTTTGAGACGGGGTCTCGCTCTGTTGCCCAGGCTGGAGTGCAGTGGTGCAATCTCGGCTCACTGCAAGCTCTGCCTCCCGGGTTCAGGCCATTCTCCACTTCTGTCTCCCGAGTAGCTGAGACTACAGGCGCCTGCCACCATGCCCGGCTAAGTTTATTTTTGTATTTTTAGTAGAAATGGGGTTTCACCGTGTTAACGAGGATGTCTCGATTTCCTCACCTCGTGACCTGCCCGCCTCGGCCTCCCAAAGTGTTGGGATTACAGGCATGAGCCACCGCGTCCGGCCGAACTTCAATTTATCTTTAATCAAAGTGACTTCCAGTCAATCCCTGGACCTGCGGGCAGCAATGAGTGGTTTTCTACTCTCAAAACCAGTGTGACTTCTGAGTAGTAGTAGAGTCTCCAGAGTTGGAATTTGCAATAAAATTGCATGATTAGAAATTAATTGGGATTTTAAAGAATAAGGAGTTATTTGCCTTCTTAAGCTACTAGTATTTGTCAGTAAACTCTGTTTTAATTGGTTTTGTTTTTTTTTTTTTTTTTTTGGAAAGGACAAAGCCTTTGTCTTCAGAGCAAAAAGAGGAATTTGTGGACATTCAGATAGCCACATATTGAGGGCAGGAACTTTTACTTTTCAATTGGTATGTTGACAGTGTGTAAAAATAGAAGACCAAGAGAAGGCAGTTGATTGGAGTTGATAATTAATAGCTAGTAAAAATTACAAGAATGGATGATGGAAGTCAAAGGACAGAACTGATACATGAGTATAAAAGCCAAGGATGTCATGTATGTAGGTCAAGGCTTTGTAATCTGAATATAATGCCCGCAAGCTAGGACTGCCAGGCACTCTGTATGTGCAGAATATGTCCTATATGGAGTAATTTTTGATTTGTGTGGACTTTTGAAGATTACCTTAAATGTCTTATATGCAACCTTTTTTCCCCTGTATATTACAAAATTGCCTTGGAAATTAGACAAATCTTCAAACTTAACTGAAACTCCTGTCCTGAATAGTTATTTGCCAAATCTGACAAACTTACAAAGAGTGTTCGCATAATCCCAAACTATGCCCACTTCCAGAAGAGAAATACATGCTTCTTTATTTGGAGTTTATGATATTCATACAACTAGTAGTAGAGTCAGGGAGTATTCCAGAAACGTATTTCCCTGGCTTGCCCAATTATCAAGGGAAAATTTCAGCTGAACACCGGGAACCCAGTCAACGCAGTCTTTGACACTCCGGCGTGCAGTGTGGAGCAGCGTGCACTGTCTGAGCCTCCACAGTGAGGAGTGGTCTTCCCTGGGGCTTCACCCTAGAAGGATGGGCTCAAAGTCGCCCTCCACGTGGGTGCACAGGAGCCCAGATTCTCAAACCCCAGTTGCAGAATTAGGCTGATGGTTTTACAAAAGAGTCCTCCTAAAAGTCCATCATCAAGTTTTGTTTGGTTAGCAACGCTTGCCACATGATGTAGTACTTAGCTATAATTTTATCTTTATTCAAGGCCAAATCTTACCTAGTGTCCATGCCCTCCTACCTACTTAAAATTTCTAATTTCACCCTCAAAAATATTTAAGTAAATAAAAATTAGATCTACTCAAAATTAGACTCCAAGGGAATTACTATCGCTGATTATAGAGTATCTATTTCCTTAAAACAAAAAATCAGAAGTTGTTGACTCTGAGCTAGGAAATGCGTGATCTCTCAGCTGACTGTTACTTTATGCAAATTTACTTAATATTATCGAAAAGTAAAGAGCTTCCAAGAAGGCGATTGGAGGGAAGTTCAAAGGAAAGATTTTTTTCATTCGCTGTAGTTTTAGCTGTATTCTTTCATCTGCAATCAAATCTCAGGATTAAGGATGTCGTATTAAATCAAATCATTACAGGAAGTATGACTGTATCAGCGGCTTTTTACACAAACAAACCTCCAGATCACAAAAGGAAGCCGTGTTTGTGTGCTGACGCGAAGTGTTACATAGCAGCCAGGAGAGGAAGGATAGCAGCCGACTTGGATCCATTTTTGAGGAATGATTTCTGTAAGGTGTCATGGAATAGTAAGTTACAGAAAGGAGGCTTTTGTAAACAGAATCTCCATTCCAGAAAGACGGACTCCAAAATACTACTTAATGGAATTCATGGGAACGTTATGGTAATGGAAATCCCAAATGACGTGCAGATTTTATATGCAAACAAACCCACTACTTGTAACTCCCGGTAGTGTCTACTTACCAAAATCTTGATCACACTTCGGTCTCTTCCTATATATAGAACCACATCTGATCCTTATACAGTGTTGCAATATTTATATCCTTGCTTTCCCATGGTTCTTAAGCGAGTCTTAAGCTTGGATTTGCTCCAGCAGAATGATGGTTCATGTTTCTCAAGGCTGAGCTACTATTTGGTGCATGTCGGAAATCTCACACTAACTGTGGATACTCTGTCATCACTGAACCCAATCATACAATGACCAGACAGCTTTAAATACCTACTTTTGTATGCTATGAATTCATCCCTTTATGTGTCAAATCCTTTATTTCCATATGTGGCTCTGTCACCTTTTTTTTCTCTTCCAATAAATGGAATTACTGTAACTTGTGAAACAATGGCAAACACTATAAAGCTAATTTTACAGTCTTGGGTTTCTTTTTGTTTCACTGGAATGGTAATGGTGTTATAGTGGTGCTGTGACAGACAA